AGAACAGGGGGGAGGGTATTTATTTTATATGTGGGGATGTGGAGGGCCGCAATGTTTACATTGCTTTATCTTAATATTGTTGTTGTTAATATTTATTTTTGTAACTTTATTCTGCCTTCAACATTTAAAAGTGTAATTTCATAAGATAATTTAAGAGGGTGGGTTTAGGGGCGGAGTTAAGGCCGGGGCAGGGTTGGGGTTAGGTGGGGCAACTGGTGGCGAGTAACTCTTAAGGCCTGGCTAGTAGCTCAGGACTTGAAATTTTGAGCCCTGCATTAGACTGTATGGAAATGATGGAAACCCTGGACTTGTTCTCTTGGATGTACAGTATTATATTTTAATTATATTCAGTTGCATTCAAGATCTTAAAGGAGAACTATGAGGTAAATTTTCACTCATCCTCATAGTTGGATAGTGACAATGAGACTGTCCACAGGTCGGCTCAGTAGATCGGGAAGTGAGAGAACACATACCGGCGCTCGCTCACTTCTCAATCTATCCCTGCAGAGAGCCATGACTGTCACTCACGGCTCCCTGCAGGGATTCCCCTCCCCCCCGCTCCAATCCTCCATCGCTGACTGGCAGAACGGATGGGGGAGGGGGCGGGCACAGCTGGCTCTGCAGATAGGCAGAGCCGGCTGTCACTCACGCAGCTGGGCGGATCCAGACAGTAATGTCGGGATGCGCTCCGGCTGCGGCGTCTCAGTATACCGCGAGCTGTAGCTCCCTATATACTGAGCTTAGGGTGACGGGAGGACCCTAGTTTATGTCCTCCCGTTACCCTTAGGAGAACTATGGGGAAAAACACTGACCCCCATAGTTCTCCTTTAAACATGCTTGAGAATTTAATAAGTCAGATTCTTCGGGGTAGAGAATGTTTGTCAGTTATATTTTCTATTATGTGTATTGTATTAATAGTTTATTTACTGTTATTATCAATATATTTGAAATGTGTTACTAAAAATTGAATAAAACAGAGGCCACAACTGCCCCCACTGGCCGAACTCTGGCTGACTGGGTTCGTACCAAGCCCAGGCTCATCTCTAGTCAGAATGAGATGAATTGTGTGTTAGAATACACATTATAGTGTTTATAGCATCAACTCCTGCAGTATACAACTTCCGTCACTAGATGGCAGTGTTCTGTTATATCTCTATGGTATATATCTCTGTTGTATTGAATAAGGTAGATAATAAAGCTGCGGCTTCCTTCCTGTTTCCAAGCCATGTGAAGCATGCGTATCTGACTGTGCGCTTGTGTTTCTCTTAGGGTTGCCACCTGTCCAGGATTCACCCGGACAGTTCGGGTTTTGAATGCTGTGTTTCATGGCAGCAGAAACCCGGACACAAGATGTCAGGCAGACAGGGGCAACCAAAATTAATAAAGGGTCTACTGGTCCCCCACTGTACAGTCTCGACTGTGATATTTACATATGAATAAGCCGCGACTCCAAAAAAATGTCTAGGCGTCACTAGAGTGTTCGGGTTTCGCTTGAAGAAAAGGTGGCAACCCTAGTTTCTCTGTGAGGCTGTGCAAGAAGTTCCAACATTGTGACCACGCGCTCTCTGTGGCTTTTATTGTGATTGATTTTATCGTAGCAGTCGCTCAGCATCGATGTCTAACACACAGACAGGAAATAGAGGAAGACTCTACAAATATATGAGCATGGAAATCTGGAACAGCAAGCGATGGGAACCTCTGAAATAATAAAATGTCCATGCACCGAAAATGCGCCGTAACTTCCCACCTCCGTCATCACAGTGTATTTTGATTGGTGGGAAATGACAAATCGGCGGAAGCCAATCCATTGAATATACCCGGAGGTGTCCATGAATGCAAATATACATGAAACAGGTGCCCCTGATAGGAATTGCTCTTTTGTGCATGCGGGCAAATCTTCTCATCAGCACACGTTACCTCCATACAGAGTCCCTCCCCCAATGGTTGCCATTCCTAGTGATATTTCCAGTCCTCCTCCCAGTCCTCCAACAGGTCATGTTCTGTGATCTTCCCTCATACGGAACACGTGGAGTTACCAAACCTTCTACATGGATCTCACCTCCGGCCAAGATGGACTCTTGAAGAATCCTGAAGACTTGACCTGTTGGAGGACCTCGAGGACTGTTATAGGTGAGAACTTTCCTCTTGAGTTCCCATATGAGGGAGTCCCACTTTCCCTGTCCAGATCTTCATTTATTTTATAACATGGAGAGTGGTTCAGGAAGAATGGGAACACCCCTCGGTGGGAGGAACACACGAGGAAGGCAGCGAAAGAAGCTGGAAGATGTAACCATTGGACAGACAGCCAACCCAAGCAGACTCCGTCTAAAAGCAAAGCATCACTTCTGTGCCGGCCCTTTAAAGCTGAACTCCAGGCAACGGGCTGAATACATCAAATACACATACTTAAGCCAGCCCAAAGGATTTCTGCCTATCCAGTACTGAGATTTATGCAGCTCCGCCACTGAAAACGTGCCATAACTTTCCATCTCTGTAATCACGATGTATTTTGATTGGTGGGAAATGACAATTTCATTGACTATACCCTGAGGTCTCCATCAACACAGGACAGAAGACTTGGCTTTTCTCTGGTCTGTTAAGTAACATTTACAGGTCTGTTCCCTCCTCTAACCTGTGACTGGACAGTGAGAAGAGAAGCAGCAGAACCATGAGCTCATCTCTCTTCTCCTATCAGCATGTTCTTTGCACATGATTGGCTCATTGTGCTGCTTCTCCCTCCCCCAGTCTTAGCTTTGCTTTACAGGGGCCTACATGAGGCTGATGGCAAGTCAACGTCACATACTTTCACTGCTTGCCTTACATTGAATGATGAATTGGTGAGTAGAGAGCCTCATTATTTGGGTCTTCCATATCTGCCTGGAGTTCAGCTTTGAGCGCCGGGAAGGTCTGAAGCTTCGAATGACAGGAAAGGAGTAGGGAACAAATGGTGGAAACCTGAGAGATAGGAGAGGACAGTACCATGGCAGACCCTCCTCAGGCTCCGAGGATCTTCTTCACTAGGTATCCAGGCACAGAGTAAAGGAAGAGGCCCACCATGAGGAGAAGAAGGATGAGGATGAGGATTTTCAGGATCAGCCAGCGGTAAGTATGCCAGATGAAGTAGCGGAAAGACTTCAGGGGGTTGAGAAACCAAATGAAGCTTGTGTCTGGCCGGCTGGTGGTGGAAGGAGGAGGAAATCAGAAGACAAGCAGCCAGAGAATAATGAGAGCGTCAACTGAGGGTCACATGGGAGACTGAGCGGATGTTAGCATGCATGACCTTCCCTGTTCTTCTGCCTGAGGAGCTACAATGAGGTCTTTATTGTATTTCCTCATAATACTTCTTCCCTATGCTCCTCAGCTCCATCTAATGGCCATAATACTTCTCTCCTATGCTCCTCAGCTCCATCTAGTGGCCATAATACTTCTTTCATCTAGTGGCCATAATACTTCTTCCCTTTGCTCCTCAGCTCCATCTAGTGGCCATAATACTTCTTCCCTATGCTCCTCAGCTCCATCTAGTGGCCATAATACTTCTTCCCTTTGCTCCTCAGCTCCATCTAGTGGCCATAATACTTCTTCCCTATGCTCCTCAGCTCCATCTAGTGGCCATAATACTCCTCATTCAGTTGTTATTCAGTTCTGGCCATTTGCAGGGCTAATAAGTAATCAATTGTAAAATAAAAGGCATGGGAAGCCGGCCACGGCCACGGGGGACACGTACTAATGGCATAAATTCAGAAATTGCAAAATTTTTTGCCTTCCCAGAATTGTCAGACCAACAAAGACTGACAATAGGGCAGCTGTGAACTGGCCCTTTTATAGAAAAGGGGCGGGGTTATCCATTCCTTCAGATTATTGGCTCTTGTGGCTCAGCTGACCAAGGAACAAAGGCCATGCCCTGCATTATCGGATGTTACTTTCTCCTGTTGATGAACCTGTAACTTTGGGATTCTCGAGGATTTGCTTGGAACCCGAACCCTATTGGCCATCCACAAAATACTAACTCCTCCTCTTCTATAATTGTAACCCTCTATTCATTTCCTGTGGGACAGAGAACTTGCGGAAGGTCAATGATGTCACCAGTATCCCACCCCTTTGTTTACATGCAGCATAAGGTAACATCATTGATCTCATACAGCCATGTGGCCATATAAGGTCAATGATGTCACCAGTGTCTCCTCCCTTTTTTTACACACAGCTATAAGGGCGGGGAATGCCCTGGCCACAGCTGATTGGGCCGCCACTGACAGCCTCTTTCCAGGTTCAGCCCAAACCTGAGCTCATCCCTATCACTCAGATGAGTGAATATTCACTTTGCAGATTGAATGGTCTCTATTCCATAAGTAAATTTGCTGTTCCATATTTTCAATACTTTTTCACCTGTAGATTTGCAGACTCTCCCTCTGGGTTCTACATAGCCGGCCACGCCCACTTACAATGTATGGACAACTTATGAGCAACTCAGAGTGAGGTCATTCCTCCTGATAAGGGACAACTAACCCCCATAGAGAGTCTATCAGCTTCCATCAGACTGAGAGACCTGGGCTGCGACCGAGAGGGGGGGACGGGACAGTGAAGTACAACTATTGTACAATGCTACGCAGCAGCAAGCGAAGCGCGTGCATGTACTGAAACAACTATGGCTGTTTCCATGAACCTCTGTCCGCATGCTTTCTATAGGAAGACAGATATCAGAACGTATCCATGTATTGATAGGAATGTATACAGCACATGGATAACATAAAGATGGATGACTTAAAGGGACCCCGTCACCACCTGACAGCATTGCCTGAGCATTGGAATCATGTGACTGGAGCCTGCAATATACTTTTCAGCGCCCTGCAAATATCTAAACATTTACCGCGTGCGGATATACGCCAAAATGAACGTTCTTCAATTGTTTCTTTACAGGGAAATGTATTTTTGAATTTTTTCATGTAATATCAGATTATGGCCACTAGATGGCAACATGGTCACAGGTCCATCCAGTTCAACCTATGTATGTATATATATATGTATGTGTGTGTGTGTGTGTGTGTCTGCGTGTGTGTGTGTGTGTCTGCGTGTGTGTGTGTGTCTGCGTGTGTGTGTGTGTCCTCGTGTATGTGTCCGTGTGTTTGTGTGTGTATGTGTGTCTGCGTGTGTATGTGTATGTGTCTGTATGTGTGTGTGTATGTGTGTGTGTGTGTCTGCGTATGTGTGTATGTGTCCTCGTGTATGTGTGTGTGTATGTGTCTGTGTGTGTGTATGTGTCCGTGTGTTTGTGTGTGTGTATGTGTGTCTGCGTGTGTATGTGTCCTTGTGTGTGTATGTGTATGTGTCTGCGTGTATGTGTCTGCGTGTGTGTGTGTGTGTGTGTATGTGTCCGTGTGTTTGTGTGTGTGTATGTGTGTCTGCGTGTGTATGTGTCCTTGTGTGTGTATGTGTATGTGTCTGCGTGTATGTGTCTGCGTGTGTGTGTGTATGTGTCCGTGTGTTTGTTTGTGTGTGTATGTGTGTGTGTCTGCGTGCATATGTATGTATGTGTGTGTGTGTGTGTATGTGTCTGCGTGCGTGTGTGTATGTGTCCTCGTGTGTGTGTGTGTCTGTGTGTGTGTATGTGTCTGCGTGTGTGTATGTATCTGCGTGTATGTGTGTGTGTGTGTATATGTATGTGTGTATATGTGTGTGTGTGTCCTCGTGTGTGTGTCTGTGTATGTGTCTGCGTGTGTGTGTGTGTCTGCGTGTGTGTATGTATCTGCGTGTATGTGTGTGTGTGTGTATATGTATGTGTGTATATGTGTGTGTGTGTGTGTGTGTGAATATTTGGGTGTAGTATTTCCCATATTCTTGTATATTTAGTGAACCCGGAAACTCATATAAAAGTTTCCAGCATTTATCTATGTTATCAGCGGATATCACTGGCTGCGGAAGGGAATTCCACATTTTTACTCCTCTCACAGTACAAAACCCCCTTCCGCAGAGATTAAAGATTAAAGCGAGCTCACGCAAGGTAACAATGAAACCTTTCCGTCACCTCCGGCCAGGCCAGTGATTGACCGTGTAGGGTGTGATCGCTGCGGATCGACGTGAGGAGAGACTCTGCGGAATTATGAGAACATGTGACTGCGGATGAGCTCATACTTATCTCACTCACTTTGGTTTTTCCAGAGGATCCGGCTCATTGCGGCCGAGGCCGGCCGGGGATTTCTCTGCCTCTTCCGCTGTTAGTAGGTGGAGCTCTGCCTCCACTTTACCCTGGGGGCAAAAGAATATATATAAGTGTATATTATTATTATTATAGTCTAAATCCTGCCATTTATTAGCGCTGGATAGAATGGGGAGTAGATGTTATTGTGACTCATTGGGGACAGCAATACAAAACATTGTCAGACACCCAGCCCCACTCCCTCATTCAGGAGCCAGACCCTCCTATTCAGGAATCAGACCCCTC